ATTCCGTCATTTTGATAGTGCCACTTGCACTTGAACATACTGCGAAGCTTTCAAAGCAACAGATATTGGATCTAGTTTTGGCATTGCAAATAATATATTGTCCACTAATTCTTTTTCGGTAAAAATGTATATGGTTTGGGCCTTGGCGAATAAAAGTCAAAGCAAACTAAATGACCAGACTGAAGCTATTTTCTATTTTCGTGAACGATAATTAAAGAGCTAGCATTTTATATATATATGTATAAATTCTTTACTGTTGCCTGGCAATATATAGATATAAATCAGTTGCAATATATGTTTATATGCATGGCCTATTAAGAAATACACTTAGTATAAATAGTAATGGACTAAGATTTTATAATGAAGAATATCTATAATTCAATGAAAGAATTACAAAAACCTCTAAGTATAAGATGAGAAAGTTTGAAGGAAAAGTGAGATGCAGGGCCGAACGACGGAAACGTGCTTTTTGCGAGAAGAAAAAACTTGATTTTTTAACTGTCTGATATCACAATCAGGCACCCTGCAAGGCTACAGTGCGGAATGTTATGACGCCATCATCTAAACAGAGAACTGGCCGTCACACACGATGATGGAAAGAAGGAAAGGAAGAAAGAAAGAAAGAAAGAAAGAAAGAAAGAAAGAGAGAGAGAGAGAGAAACGTACCACAACAAGAATACGGCAAGTCCGCACTTTACGATTGTTGTCCACCCTCAAAAATAGAATTTGAAATATACGAGGACTGCATTTCCCGGCTTTTACCGACTGTTTAAAGCATTTCACTATATTGCACTTCTGCTTTGCGATTGGCTTGTACTTTTCTTAACATCCTTGATGATGACGTCATAGGTGCTTTGTGTTGAAGTTGGTTACGTTATTGAAATAGATGGATATAGGATTTGGTGATGTTTTGACGCGAGATGTGAAAACACTCTTAAATAAACATTTTGAATTAACTTCAGCTGGCCTCTCTCGCCTGATTTTCTGAAATCTATTCTAGTTACTTACGGAATATTGCCGCAAGGCTATATTTTTGAAATAAGGAATAAGGAAATAAATAAATAAACGAACGAACGAACGAACGAACGAACGAACGAACGAACGAACGAACGAACGAACGAACGAATGAACGAACGAACGACTACTGTTCGCACTTTCCTTTTCGAATTTGTTCATCTTTCCCTCATTCTATGAGACGCGAAGCCTATGTATGTATTAAAAAAACTTGTTGACCAAATATTATTTCGGAAGGTATAAAATGTTTAACTATCTAACTTAAGTGATAGCGTTATTACCCTTTTAAATGGGCCCGCGGTATATGATTGCACCTCGTAAATTAATTGAAATTCGTAAATATAAAGGATTGTCATATACATACTGGGCGGGCCGTGGGTTGCGAATGCATTAAAGCTGAAAATAGCCTAATGCAAATGAATACCAGGACAATCTAACGTGTTTAGCATCATTGCACATGGCAAAATGTTCGGGACATTTGCTTTTAATTTTTAAAACTCGCTCCCACAGACCCCCAATTAACCCTAAGTCATATCGTATGTCATTTACGTAAATTTTTCGTTAGTTAAATAGGATATGAAGTTTATCGGTCGGCATAAACTCGATGGCATAGTGTCTACTGCTTATTAATATGCGCGAGACACATAAACCAATTCAAACTACAGAAATTCTCTCGCTTTGCAGGCAGCACACTAACCAACCAAGCCATACCTGCTCCTTAAAACAAGTGAGTGTGAGGTCACTGAGGATCAAACTATGGACCTCTTGCTTAGCAGGCAGCACACTAACCAACCAAGCCACACTTGGTCCTTAAAACAAGTGTGTGAGGTCACTGAGGATCAAACTATGGACCTCT